AGGCCATCACTCTACCACTGAAGCCCCTTCAATCATTCTATATTACTTACAGTTTCTCATACAATTTAAATGCTATGTAGGAAATATTTGTTTTTCTTTATTGTTTAGGAAATAATGATGTGAAAAAAAGTCTGCATACATTCAGCACAGACAGTGTTTTCCAAATATTTTCAGTCTGCAGTTGATTGAATCCACAGAGGCAGAGGGCTCATCTGTTTATGGGAATCACATGGGTGTGGTTGAGGATTTGTGCAAGCACTTGTGTCCACAGGGCCTGACATATGGCCAGCCTGTGACCACTGACAGCCACGGTTACTGTTGTTATCATCGGATGTCTCTTCCTGTGGACTGTCAGGCCCGAATTAGGCTGTGTTCCAAGAAGTGCCACAGTTTTATAAATAGAACCAGTTGGGCCCCAACTCCCACTCCTCTGGAGGTCTGATATGGCTGAATGCTTGGCTGCCCTCCAGAAGGCTTCCAGGGGTGTGTGGAGAGCCCTGCAGGAGGTACTCGGAAGGGGTGCTCCCGCTTTCAGGGGATAGGGAACCCAGGGCCCTGATGTGCTAAGCACATACTCTATCACTGAGCTACATCCCCAGACTGTCCTCATTTTGGTTTGGTTTTGCTTTTTTTGGCAGTGCTGGGATCGAACCCAGAACCTCATACATGCTAGCCAAGGGTGCTATTGTAGGTGTAGGGAGCCACACTCCCGCTAAAGTTGCTTTTTTGTTTTTATTTATTTATTTATTTTTGTTTTGAGACAGGGTCTTACTTTGCAGTTCAGGCTGGCCTTGAACTCACTGTAGCCCAGGCTGGCCTCAAACTAGCAACTATCCCCCTGCCCCACACTCCTTGTACCACTGCACTCATCTTTCCTAGTCTCTCTGCTCACAGGGAAGATAACCACTTCCTCTATCAGAGGCTGCTCAATCTTCTGATCTGCCTAGAAAGGGGAAACAGCGAGAGTTAAAGAAAGACAATAGAGAGTCGTGTAAACCCAAAGTACATGGCTGGCTGGGAGGTCAGTGCCCCAGAGTGGGCAGAGACAGAGACAATCCAAGCTGGCCACTATTTATTGGGTGCACACAAAATCGGAGGGAGCATCCGGTGACTTAGAGGGCCGAAGTAATCCTATGTTGATGAGGATTTTAGGTTGATGAGGACGGTGGATGGCAAAGCATTCTTACAATAGTAGGTGGGACAAGAAGGCCAGCTAGTAAGGAATCTGTCCTTCCCAGGTGAAACTTTTCTCTCTGTTTTTGTTTTTTTTTATTATTATTACTATTCGGTTCTCAAAGAACCAAGGTATCATCAGCTGATGTACTCTTTGCCCTTGAGTGTCACAGAATCATGCACAGAACCACTGAGGCCTCAACTTCTGACCAGAGGCAAAACGCAGTTATGTTTCCCCAAGCCATAGCCGGCTCCGGGGAAAGAAGATATTGGGCCTTAGACAGTCCTAATCATAATTTAATTTTGAAATGATTTTT